GGGTATCTAACTAGGGACATGCATTTGGAGACCAGGGAGCACTTCCCACTGTGCTATTGATCCACTGGTCTTTTTTATTTTTACTTCTTATTAATATACAAACTTTATTAAATAAATATATTTTTTTCTTGAAAAAAGATTTTTTATTTCAAAAATTAAACTTTATATCAAAATTATTTATATTGTTAACTTGAAAAACCAATAGTATATTCAATATTTAATATTTAATAATATTTAATATACTTTACTATATTATAAAAATTAAAAAATTTTATTCAAAATTTTTTTTACCAATCAGTTTAATCCTATTAACTAATTATTATTTCAAACTTAACCAATTAAATACTATTAAATATCAAAACAATTTCACATATTCAGTATATTATATTTTGATTAATAAAAGCAAATTTATTTTTGACAACAATAATTAAAACAAAGTTATATATCCTGTATACTTTTTAGTAACAAATGTAAATAATACCATTACAATAACTACTATAACTATAACAATCATTATTATTATAACAATAAAAATTATGCATGTGATTATATTATTATAAAAAAAAATTTAATCGACAATATGATTTTAAATTAAATACAAATTTCAATTATTTACTATATGTTATTTAGTAATTCTACCATAATATGGTTTTTAAAAAATGATTGAATTTAATTTTATTATATGTATAATCAAAATATTAACAAATAAATCACAATAATAATATATTTATATCTAATCAACTATCAAAAAAATATATTATCAATACTATTATATATTATGGCATTTAGCCTGGCTATTTTGACAAGTATGACTATACTTTAAAAAAGTGGAATTACTAGAGTGACATATTTAGGTATTAATAGTATTCTAGACACCATAGGTTTTATAATTAGTTTTTTTAATACTTTTTTTTATATAGTATTTTTTTTAAATTTTTTATATTATATAACTTTAAATAAGTATTTATAACTGTTTAGGCTGCATGAAGATAAGATCTCTGATCTTTCTGACAATCGCGAGCTGAAAACAGGTCAAAGCAGGAAAGATTGCATAAGGAAAGACTTCTGATCTAACTCTGATAAAAACCTATAACCCCTTGGCATAACAGTCTCCATGGCATCAAAAGTGTGTTAACCTGATTAGACAACTTTGAAGAAGGTCATTGTACAAACATTTATAAGTGGATGAAGCTTGAGGCTATTCTATAGGAGTTGTACTCTGCTTGGTATTTATGCCCCTAGATTTGGTAGCCTAAGCCAACCGAGAGCCTATAGAGTATCTACTGGGAGATTTAGAAGTCACGTCCCACTTGGTCAGCAACCAAACCCCCAGATTTGGTAGTGTGTGCCAACTATAGAAATAACTCTCAGAGCATTTACTAGGAAGTGTAGAAAAGTAAGATCATGGGTACCATGGATATTTGAGCTCGAGATGTAAAGTGATAAGGAACCTAGTGACAGTTAACATGCTTACTATTAATTAATAATTATACAAATAAGCTCAAATCTGAATATGGATATACCTATGAGGTGTAAGTTGGTATTTGGATATAAATAGGCAGTGTTAGGATTAGATTAGCTAAAATAGTTAGTCAAATCTTTCATGTAATGACCATAAACTAAAGTTTAATAAACATTTCACATGTAATGTGCTTTGCCTAATAAAAAAAAAAAAATATTTATAACTGTTTAGCACTATTTTTGATATATATTGGTTTTAATATTTATTTTCTTTTACTATTTAAATAGTTTACCATAGGCAAACTGGCATTAAACTTGTTAATTATTTGGTCGTATAAGAAATATTATTACTTTTTCCATATATAAAATTTTTATATTTTTCAAAATATAAAGTAATAATTTTTATTTACTTAAAAAAAACAAAAAACAAAAATCTTTAGATAAAAAAAGTAAATAGATTTTATGATAAAAAAACAAAAAAAAACTTTTTTATAATATTTGTTTTTTCGATTGGTAAAAAGAATTAATAAAAAGAATTTTTACTGTTTATTATAATTAAAATATCTAATTTTTAAATTTTATAATTATATAAATTAATTTATTGTTTTACCATATATAAAATAATTTATAAAAAATTTAATTAGAAATAATTTATATGCTATAATTCTATTTAAAAAATCATAAAAAAAAGGTTTTAATGATCAGTAGGTCAATAGCACAGTGGATAGTACTCTCTGGTCTCCAAATGTATATCTTTAGTTCAATACTTACAGGAGGCAAAACACATAAAATTTATTCTTCATTTGTGGGTTTACCAGTTTTCCTACAAATGTCATACTCCAAACATCTGGATCTTAACCAAATTTAGTTAGGCTGCATGAAGATAGGACCTCTGGTCTTCCTGATGATCACGGGCTGAAAACAGGTCGAAGCAGGGAAGGTTGCATGAGGAAAGGCTTTTGGTCTAACTCCAATAAAAGCCCATAAACCCCCCTGGCACGGCAGACTCCATAGCACAAAGAACATTTTAGCCTGGGGCTATTCCAATCTGGTGCTTGTTTAAAAGAAGACAATTTCTACAAGAAAAGTTGAAAATCGCAGATGGTGACAAGAAGTACAGTACCTTCTCTAAGGAACCAGGTGAAAAGTATTGAATGGGTTATCCAGATGTTCTAACTAACTCTGAAAGGTACATGTTTCAAATGACTACTGCCAGGATCTAGATTAGGTTAGATAGTTTAAAACTAGTGATAGGATTTCTATCTCCTAAAGATCCATCTGGTGTGTAGATCCACTTTCTGGGTGGATAAATCTGTATAACTGGGTAAGGCTATAGGTGGAAGTGCGGGTTAACTTAAATGGATCTTGTAGTCATGTAATTGGATATAAATTACTCAATAAAGTCATGTGCTATTAGCACTCTTTACCTGAAAAAAAAAATGGTTTTTAATATAACATCGATATTTAATTTGAAGAAATTATTATAAATAACATTATAAATAAGAATAATTTTAAATTTCTATAAATTGAAATTGGAAATCAATCATAAGCATGGATTTATACACATATTTTTATAAAGCATAAACCCCAACACAAGCTTTTTATATTATTTATACCGATATTTAATAAAATAGATAAAAGTTAAAAGAATTGATTTTTGAATTATCGATTTTTCTTTACACGCACGATATAAAACCTTTTAGATTTATTTACATATTTATAGATATTAAAAAAAGTTATGATAGTAAAATCAAAAATATGGTTCAAATTAGAATTCAGAATATTCGATATACAATAACACAAATGCTATGTATATACAGTATGTTTTAATCTATTCATCGTTATGATTTCAACTCATTTATTTTCAAACAATCAAATTTTTACAAAAAGTTTTACTGTACATGATGCTTTGTTACAAGCACGGAACATGAATCTACTTAAATACTGTATTTAAAAATCGATATAATAAGAACAATGATTTTAAGGTACAATATATACAATATGTAATTTAATTAAAAAAAAAATTTTTTTATTTTGTTTTTAGAATTGATACAGATTAAAAAGAAAAACAAATAATTCTCTATATGATAACTATTATTCTTTTTAAGAAAAAATGATCCGAAAACCTTAAAATCCCATTTTTCACTACAATGTTACATTTGCTTAATTAACAATACAAAAATAGAAATATAAGGCAAGCAAGGTATTTGACGTGGTTTTAATTATGGTGCAACTAATTACCAAATACCTATAATTGAAGGTGACAAAGATGCTGAAGATGATTTCTCTAATCTTATTTTCTAAATACAGTACAGTGATGCATATACGATGTAAATTTTAGGATCACGATCTTATGTCCAAAAACCCCTGTTCGCCTTCGATGATTAAACATTTATTAAGTTAACAGGTAAACTAATTTAATCAAAATACATTGTTTAACGTGCGAATGACATCATCTATCACAATAAATTGTGTTTCAAATGGTTAAAAACGACTTTCTTTATACGTAAGAGACAACCTAAAAAAAATAAGATAAAATCAAAAGTCAGATCGAGTGTGAAATTGACTGCGTTCAACTAAAAACCAAACCATTTCGGTCGTGTATATAACGCATGCGCTTTAACCAAAACTACACAAGAGAAAGATCAATTTTTAAAGAATTTGGAAAGAATTCGACAGAGTCAATCCGAAGATATAAAACACCTTACGTCCATTCGTATATATTCCGCGCTTTACAGGAGTTGGATGTATCATGGATAATATCTGCGTAACATTAAGATCCTTTTGTAGAACAAGTGATTGGATAACGTCGGAGTCTAAAAGGAATGAGAGATGTGAAAAGAAATGATCATCGGTCAATCCATGTACCGGTTTCCCGCTTATATTGTTTGATTACATGGTACTAATTAAAATTAGGCTAGACAAGATTCATGCCTTGGAATTTAACAGGTTTCACTTTTACAGCGGGGATCGAAATCCGACGAATTACATAAAAATTCCATAACGCAGGGTCCGAAATACATGTGGTCGAGAATAAATGGAAAGGGAGGCTTTTATATAGGAAACAAACAAAAATTACATAAATTAATTTCCATACCCGTGGATGAAATCATACTACTAATTTATTTCCTATGTATAAATACCCACTTGTCGGTGGTCAATAAAGACTAAAAAAATTCTTAACAAGATGAGCGCATGTCCCGATGCAGAGCAAATTTTCACAAGCTTCCCTCAGCTTAAAAATATTTTGTCGAAAGTGTCGTCAAGGTGTAACTCTGATTCACCGAAAGATTATGTCAACATTTCAAAAAATAGGTCTGGCAAACGATCGAAGGTCAGGAGGCCCATGAACTCTTTTATGATCTTTAAGAATATGTATCGCAAAGAATTGATTAGAGATAGTTTGTACGAGGATATATGCAAGAAATTTAAAATTGAGAGAAATCGAAAGGCGCATTTGATCCCCAAGATAGCAGCAAAACTTTGGGGGGACCTAAAGAAACGTGGACGTGGACGTGGACAGGCACCTTTTATCGAATTTGCCCGAAAGGTGAAGAATGAACACGAAAAGGCGTTCCCAGGTTATAAGTATAAACCGAAACGAAAGAACAAGGAATACGGATTCCGTCAGTTCATCCCCGAAGAAAAGTTAACCAAACATAAACGTGACGAAGCAGATCAGACTTCCGACGCTGGTGAGGCCGAAGATGAAGAACACGAGGATAATCAGGAATCCGAAGTTTATCAAACGTCTTGATTCCCTCGTGATTTTTTAAAATTTTTATTTCTCCGATCCTTCTAAGCGAACCTATCGTCAAAGATAAGTTAATGGTAGTAAGCAAATAACTAATTAATTAAATTAAATTAAATTAAATTAAATAATTAGATAGATAATTGAATGAATGAATAAATATAAATATCCAAATATGCATATACAGTACTTAAATAAAACCTACAAAGTGTGTGAGCATTAGCAATACATGTAGATTTGAAACTTGAAAAGTCTTGTGCACATTTTTTTTGGTTCTCGATATCAAATAGTCTGACATAAGATGCCATCATGCTGTCAAAAACGTGCTGTATGTGTAAACAACGAATGATATTAGTGATTCCATACAGTGATCCACAGGTAGGGTGGGGAAAAGTAACTAACTATAGGAAAGCTTGGTCAATTCCGGATTTTTCCGGGTCGTTTCCAAATTGGTCTTATTTACTAGTGAGAAAAATATATAAGTCCATCAACGGTAAAGTAGGTCAAGTTAATGATAGACCAGGAAAATCGACCGACCAGGAGGATCAAACATCACGCGGTAAATATTGTAATTCAGGGTGTGCTCTCATTAATTTTGAAAAATACACGCGTCCTCGGATAAGCTGTGTGTGCGAACAAAATCACATGCCGACTTTTCATTGGTCGGTATTTAAATACCAATATGGACGTCTTACATAATTGGATCTACAAGACTAGCCAAATAAGTTCACGTTACGTAACCTTTTTCTTGAAGAAACGCGAGCTCATGATCTCTTTTCTTGAAATCGTCGAACCTTACGTGACAACGAAGATCTGCATTCTTTCGGTTGGTCTGTTTAGCAAAGAGAATAATTACTGATGACGAAAATTATACGTCGGAATGACACGGATGATGCTTGAGGAATCAGCGAGGCAATCTTGTCTCTTTGGCAATTAGAAGGTTGCTAGGATTCTTCGGTGTCACTACGCCAGTGTTGCGTTTTGCTTTGGTGACACCTGCAGCGACATGAGTGAGAAAAAATTGAAATAAACTTGCGATTCATTTCCTTTTCGATAAAGGCTGAACATTTGCATCCATATCCTTTTGTCTCAGTAAATGCCTAACAAAAAACAAAAAAAAAAAAAATGCGTAATGCATTATCTAAAGAGCCAATGATCTATAAGATAATAATTTCCAGTTTCGTGAGGTTCAAAACAGGTTTATTTTTTTTTTCTCATAATAACCAATACAGTATTATCCGATGCATTCTGTGAAGTTGGTCATGAACAATTTAAGTTTTACCCGGATGCTCCTAAAACAAATAAAACCCCCGAGAAAACCATTCAACCGTCAACATCCTTCAATCCCTCCAAAACACCTTCCTCACCCTTAAATCTTGAAGATATCTTCCCTTTATTTTCTTCTATTCTCGAGATACAGTTCATCATGGCCCACGAGATCAATTACGCATGGCAATGGGGGGAGTTGAAGTCAAAGAAAGGTCAACCGGTGACCAATGAAATAAAAAATATCATTCATAAATTTAACCGAGATGATATTTTTAAATCAACGAAATATACCAGCCAAATGTTATTCCAAGGATTCTACCCAAGAAACAACCAACAAAGGGTCAGGAGGCCACCGAACCCCTTCTTAATATTCCGAACCATACTCGGCTTAGTGGCAAACGATAATAATGTTTCAATCGGAGACGGCATTTCTTGCAGCGTCTTGGCTGGAGTGATATGGAGTAACGCGACGTCAGAAGAAAAATCCAGAATTCAAATGATCTTCAAAGAGATAAAGATGATTCACGACCAAAAGTTTCCAAACTACCAATACCGACCGGAGAGAGGCAATGCGACAAATGACAGGTTCTCGAATAAGACTGCCAGAGATTTCGAGAATCACGGCGTTCTCTTCACCCCTACTTCGACGGCCGTGTACAGTCAAGGACCACAGCCATCCTACATCAACCCCTTGCCGTCACCTGTTCCGTCCATTGCAGTAAATTGTCCACCCATGCCAACGAACAACCATATGTTGGATGGATTACTCGACATCACAAGATATTATTAAGTCCGAACAACCCACTCACGACTTAGAAAAAAAAAAGAGAGAGAAGAAGAAGAAAATTGATATCATGTATATTTTTAAAAAGATATTGAATGTGCATTTATTTTTCTTGGTTTTTTTTCATGTACCATCAAACCCTCTTGTACAAAAACCGATTTGTATGATCAATCAATTGTTTAATCTACGATTCAAAAACGCGTAATTAATAATTCCCTTATCAGAAATGAATTATGATTCAGACACGTGTAAATTTTCCGAAAACAAAAAAAAAAAAAAAATTTTTTTTTTTTTTAACCCTCTTTCTTTATAAAATCGAAATGTCTAACTAGGATTCTCTTTTTATTCTATGATCAAAGTGTACAGTACATTAACTATATTTTTCTTCCCAATGTACCATCATCATGCTAAGTGCAAATGTATCATATGTTAAACAGTGTAACAATACAATATACATATATGATTTATTTTTAAATGTGGCTTATTTCGTATTTTAGATGTTTTGAGCGCCACACGCATGACAGTCTTTGTTCAATTTCTCGGATTTTTAGAACTCATTCCCTAAAAAAATATTTAAAGCAGGTTGAGTTCTTACCTGTGGCACCCGTTTAGTTAGTTTTTTTTTGCTCGATTACTTATGGTATGGTTAAAGTGCCTCACGGAGTGTGAGTTCCTTTCGAAATCGGATGTGGTGTAACCAAGAACCCACGTGTCTTCATGAAAGTGTGGCTAGCCGTGGTTTTAACACTAGCATTATCCAAGTAACTCCGAGTGACACACACGCACACGGGAGTTCCGCGACCGAATGTAATTTTTCGTTAACGAACGTTTAATTTACAGTATATATGCGTGGTGTGTGTGTGTGCACCTATTCAAGATTACACATGGTTTAATTTCGGGTGGAGCCAACACATGGTAATTTCACCATCCCCTCTCGTGCCAGATTAAACCATAATTGCGATTATTGAAATATTAAAACAGGGTGATTTCTTGATTTGGTGCCAAAAACATAATCACACATCACAAAAAAAAAAATCCGGTTTTAAGATAATGAGCTTTTTTTAAACCATGTTCAATTCGGTTAGAAGTGTTACTAAAAATACATCAACTTCTTTCGGCAAATAAGGGCAAATGAGGCGCGTCCCACTCCTAAAGTCGAGGATCGACACAGACTCGCGTATTTTCCGTTAATAGTACAAACCGTAAACCCCTATGGGCTTAGTGATGATAGAAACAAAGTTCTTTTTATTTATTAAACATCTCTCTTGCTTATTTCAATCAAGATAGTTGTCATTATGGGATATAAAAAAGAAACCTAGCCATCAATAAGGTTCTCCTTTGGCCTTTATACATTAGGTTGCATTTGATGCTTGTTGTATGAACGGGGCGCGGGGATGCATCTATTCTAACCTGGCGAGCCTGTTTTGGACATGAGGGACTTGAAATCGCGGGCATATTGTTATTTGTGTGTTTAACTCTTTACCAATGAATTTAGTAAATTGGCGTTCCTCCAAAATCCTACTATGCCTTATGTCTTACTAAATTGAAAGAACGCATATCGCATCATCATTCGTGCTTGCGTAATGTTACAAATCGAGAATCTTTACCCTAAACCCGTTAAGCTCGCCAAGGAAAGGATTTCCTAGAAAATGGATAATTTATATGATCAAAACAATATATTGTAGCTCGTATGTGGAAATAATGTCTGATTTATTTGTAGTTGATCGGAAATTTCTGATCCGTGGCACGCATCTAAATAAACAAAAAAAAACGGTAAATAGGTCTTCACAACGATGCCCCTTTCATTTAGATTTTCATTTTTGGATTTTGACAAAGTAGTGCGTGCATTCCGGTGGCCGACAACACATGCATATTTGATGCATTACCCATAGTTGAGGAACAAGAAACAATTTTTTGAAGTTTTGAAATGTACTGTAGGGGCATTTTCACGTCAACTTGTCACGGAAAACCAGAAGTTACTGGTTTTAATATCGTCACCCAAGGATATGCAATGAAACCATCTACAAAAAATTTATGCAGTTCTTCAGAGAATCAACCTTAAAAAAGAAGATTATTAAAGGAATTCGCATTCATTTGCCCATCCGCCGATTTGAACATGGCATTCACTGCCGTGTTGAATCTCAAAAAGATCATTCATTCACCTGCTGTTGAATTTTAACATGTTAACCTAAGAGATGGTTTGAAACTTGACCTTAAATGGTTCACAGGTTTCCTGTATAGTTTTATTTAGTTGACGGAAATAATATAAAAGATCTCAATCTCACTCCGTCGCCGACCTCTTCTCCCCGAATAGATACTTTCTCACCTTCGTTCTCTCCTAAAGCATGAATCCCATTTACATCAGAAACTCGGAATACTTGGAAGCATGCTTTATTCACAAACTTAATCTGAATGAACTCTTTGATCCAAACATAACAGCCGAAGAATTGATTAAACCGCTGCCTGATGAGATAAAAAAGAGGCCGCGTTCAATGAACTCGTTCATGTGTTTCAGGAGAAAAGTCTATCTCCTGGCTGTCTCCGGCGGTTTTACAGAAGACATAAAAGACGGCCGATTCCTTACACAGGTCGTGGCAAAAATTTGGAATCATACAAGTAAAGAGGTGAAAAATATTTACACTCGGCTCGCACGAGAAGTCAAGAGTATCGACAACGATCGTTACAAGGACGTGAAGGTGGAAAAAAAGAGAATCTGCGAAAAGCAGTTCGTGAACACCTACATGGTCAGCTACGGCCTTCCAATTTCTCGCCGAGGGAAAAATAGCATTTCACTTCGACCCCGAAAATCGTCAGGACGCCCAACGAATCCACCTGTCGAAGAACGAATCGATTATTCGATTCCTTCATTCGTGGAAAATTCCACAACGATTACCGCAAACCCGATTCCCGAATTTATGTTTTACAACGAAGCACATTCTTACTTTATACTGCCAGTGTACGAACAATCTCCGTGTTATAATCCCACGGAATGGTTATTCAACGAAAATATGGATTATCAATAACTCTTAAATTCACGATGTTATTTTTTTCTACCGATTCGATAACTGAGACATTTCGAAATTTTATTACGCGCACTCAAAGAAAAAAAAGAGAAAATCTATCGATTCTCGACCTCCATTATTTTTTCCCGATTTTTTTTTTATCTCTCTTCGTTCGTTCGTTCGCTCGTCCCATCGATACTTTTTTTATGCTGCTATATGACTTGAATCAATATCATTAAGAAAAACATAAAGACATATTAATCAATTTTGTACGTGTGGTACGTACGTACCGTAAGTTCTTTCTTACCTTATCCACATGATGAATTTTTTATAAACCTTCTTTGTTTATTCGGAGTCCATTAATGTGACATACCATAAGTGACATCTAAGATCTATGCACTCAATTATTTTTTTAGAATTTACTGTAACTCCTGTGTATGTATGCATGAGAACAATTAAACTTATATTGTGTTCGATTTACTTATGTATTATTATGTATCAATAATTTTGCTCTGTTAAACTTTATCTAAAGAACCTGAAACATTTCTACTGAGTTAAGCTGCATTTGTTCATTCATGCAAGCCAATGTATTTTCTTGGAGGATAGAGAATGATCAATATACGTTGAATTCAGAGATTGGGCCTCGTTCACGCACGGAAAAATCGAATTTCCTTGACGAAAATGGAAACCTTTCTTAAAAAAAAAAAAAAAAAAAAACCCCATCGTCAAGTCAATTTACTGAATACAGTTTTTTTTCTCAAAATGAGATACTGTATCTCTCCTGTGTTGTTGGCCTATAGGAATATTTTTCCTGTACTATCATCCTTTGGTCACTGTTGATTTCATTCCGGGTACACGATTGTAAAAACACGTGCAATATTATATAATTCGCTCTGAGCGATTGTCCAACTAAAAAAATAAGGTTTTTCATTATCCACCTTCATTTGAATTTATGTGCTATCTCGAGATCGATACGAATAATTTCCTGTGAGACGGTGAGATGTTTATCACATAATAATCACACAGTTATTATGTCAAATAATACGCATCAATCTTTGAAAATTTAATATAAAGTAATTGGGTATGAAAATAGTTTGATCGATGTTTGTCATCGCATTTGATTTATATTATTCATTTGTTTTTTAAGTAGACTTGAGTTAAAATAGCAAAAGATCCGATGATGTGTGTACATCAATAGATAAAGGTTACGGCCGAGCTTGCATTCGAACGACAAAATCGAATTTTCTTCATGATCACCCACCTTTCTCTTCACCCTTACCCTTTATCAACGTTCGCATGAGGCTTACAAGATCAACACGCTCCCTCTTTTAAAATAAAATCACGTTCGAAAAAAAAACCAATATAAATGAAAAAATGAATATATTCTTGCGTGGCCTTATGATTTTGATTTCAGGAATGAACCTGCACAATAATGACCAATTATTGAAACGTCGAAAAGAGCTTAGCATCATATAATGTTTTGTGGTACTCGTTATTATCATAAGATTTACCATTAACTTCAGAACGTCGTAAATTATCGTCCTATCGCGAGATCGTGATTATTTTTTAGAGGAATAAGGAAAAAAATAAAATATATTTACTGTATCTTATAATTAATTAAATTAAATTAATAAAAAATAATAATATGTGGATAATCGAATAAGGTAAGATGAATAAATGGAGTAACGGAAATATTTATTATACCGGAAATTATTTGCTGTAACAGAATAAAAAGCCATTGTAATTGGTCAGTTTTTTTTTGTTTTAGATAGATATTCGGTACATATTCTCAATAAAAAAAAAAAAAAAAAACCTTTTGTAATTTAAAGTAGCAAGTGGAACCCTGCATAAGTTAATATTTTCTCTTTCTCTTTTTCTCTCTCTTTTTTTTTTTTGAAATTTACAGTATTAGTCGAGATAAATAATGTAAACTTATCAGTGTCCCTTTATGCCCTAAACAGATTTTATAGTGAAAAAGTGTAGCGCATGGAATGCGGACAAGTAGGTCCGTTGGACTGCTGATAAATCTTTCTCTTTTTAAAAATAATATTCAATCGAAATTTTATCTAGCACATTCCGTGTGCATCTCTATTGGAACTTCTTTCTTATCAATATAAGACGACTCGCTCCTTATCAATATAACAAGACTTTTTCTTTTTTCAACATATTGTATATGTGTGCGTTGTACACAGCAAATACCTAATCATTTATACACTTGAATTTAGAAGAGTTCAGGTTTTTCGAAAAGTGTGACTGACTGATGACATACTTGTGAAAGAATATATCACGAATATATTTTGATTTTGATTTTTTTTTAAATTAAAAATTCAACTCCAACAATATAGTTTATACACCATCTCCGACATTTATTATTATCCATCCATCTATTTATTTATTTATTCACTTTATTTCGTTCATGGCACATTAAATAATGAATAACAGCAAATGTAAATTTGAGTTTTTTTGTCTCCGTTTCATAATATGCACTCCCCGACAAAAAAATTATCCGAGTGACAAATATAAAATATACACTGTATACGTATGTGTATGCATACATGTATGCCTTTCATTTTTTTTAAAAATTTTTTGTTGCTTACTAATAAACTAAAATAAAATTACACTCGAAGATTACGTAAGGTATTATATTATTTTTTTTGAAGCTACGGTATAGTAAATCAAGATGTATTATTATATGCATTATTATTTGATTTTAAGTAAAAACTTATAAATTAAAAGATTATAAAGCAAAATAAATGATAATAATACATTTTTTTCGCAAAAAATTTTTTGTTGAATTAACTTACATTACTGTATAGAATTGTAAAAAATTTTTTAACTAATTTCTAGATTGTATTACCAAAAAATTTAAAAAAAATATTTCGATATAGAAATTTATATTCGATAAGTTTCCTTTTAATTATATAAATATAAAAAAAATATTATTTTATACAATGTATTAAAAATTTTTTAACCAAGTATTTATGCGTTATAACTTAACAAAACTTGATTATATATTTTTAATAATACTGGATAATAATAAGATTATTATGGTTTTATGATAATTAATTAATTATTTTTATTATAAAATATCAATTTAAAATAAATAAATAAATAAATTTAGAAATTTAATTATTTAGAAATTTAGTATATATATATATAATATAGTAAAAGAATAAACAATCTTATAATATATTGTTTATTTATTTTTATTTATTTTTTATTTATTTTTTTTTAAAAAAATTTTTTAATCAAAAATTTATATAAATATCTTTTTTTATAATTAATAATATATTATATAATATATTGAAGAAATTATATATTTAAAAATTGAATTTTTATTTTAAATAAACAATAATATTAAAATAAAAATTAATGGATTTGTTATTATATTATAATTACTAATTATATATTATTAAAAAAGATATTTGAATAAAATATAAAATAAATATATATATTTAAAATATAATATACAGTCTGGTGCAAAAGTCTTTGGACTTTTATTTTAGCTTATATTTCAATAACTTATTAATAATACAATACA